TTTCAAATAGGGGAAGAAATATGCATTCATCCTTTCATGTAATTACTAATATAATTACCTCTCCCGGTGCTCTTTGCTTTTTGTGTGGGATCAAAGTATTCTCAATGGTCACTTGCTTTCAGCTAGAAGAATTTTCTCTAGTGGTTCTTGTAAGATTAGCCTATATATATATTTTTTTTTCTTTGTTTTTATTAAATCTTTCTTGTTCTTCACTTAATAATATACCATGTCATTTCCTGGCAATTCTTCTTCAAAAATACAGCTTATACCTACATAATGTTTTGTGGTTAACAAATATCTTTTATCCTAAGGAGTTATTTTCAACCTTTCATTATTACAAATGATGCTATTATAAACATCTTTGCATATGCATCCTTTAGGAAACACATTTTATTTTTAAAGTAGGTAATTAATCTGAGAGTATTTATATCTAAAACCATTCAGCCTCCCTTCAGAGGTGTTCTCCCTGCCCATCTCCATCTCCTCAAATGTAATCATTCCTATAAGCTTGGTATGTACTTGCGTTTTCGTGTACTTGCCTATGGATTGAAAGAGAGAAGAAAGGAAGGAGAGAAGGAGGGAGGGAGAGGGAAAAAGAAAGGGAAAAAGAGGGATTTTTTTGTTTGTTTTGCTGCTAGTTTTAGTTTTACATCGGTGGGGTCATCCTGTATGTCCTGATTTTCACCTTGTTTTCTTTAACAGCATGTCTAGGAGACCTTTCCACATATAATTTGAACTCATTCTTTGTTTAACTGCCACGTAGAATTCCAGAGCCATTTAACAAACATTTATTGAGTTTCCTACTGTGTAGTAGAGTCTGGGGATTCTGTGAGACTATATCCTCACAAGCTTTACTGTCACAGTATGGATGTACTAAATTTAATATTCCCATTTTGATGAATGTGTAGATTTTCCCCCAAAGACAGATGCTTAGGAGCAGAGTTACTGAGTCAAAATATATGAAAATTTAAAAGTATCTTGACATGTACTATAAAACTACTTTCCAGGAAGGGAGACCAGTTTATATTCCCAAGAGGAGTGCTAGCCTGCTAATTTGGTAGATGGAAAATTTCAGTCTAAATATGCATTTTTATATTACTACTGAGGTTGAATATTTTTCCATATTTATTAGCCAATTACATTTTCTTTCTGGGTTGTTAAAAAGTTTTTTTTTCAAAAAAAAAAAAAAAAAAGTTTTTTTTTCCCCCCCAGCTTTTAATAAGGTCTATTTTTATATTTTCTTTTTTATTTACATAAATGTTTAATACCTAGTAGGTATGTTTCTTTTGTAGTTTTTGTTGTGAATATTCTTTCCTATTTGCTTTTTGTATCTAATTTTTTAAATGACTCCTTGATGAAGAGAAAGATTTTATTTTTTTAAAGTTTCACTTTAATGGAGTCAAAGCATCCATTTTTTCCTTTCTTTTTTTTCCCCATTGCATTTATGCTTGCAAAGTGCTTCCCGAAATCAAGATAAGATAGAGAATCATATATTTGTTTAGCTATTGGTTTCATTTTTAACATCAAATTTTAAAAAATCTGTGTGAAAAAAATTACAACTTTAAATTTATTATATTTTTCCCTAAATTGTTCTCATACAAATTATTCAGTGACTCCTCCTATGCTCATTGTATCTGATACCACAGAATTCTGTGTCCATACATCCATGCATGACCCTTTTCTTTCTTTTTATGTTCATGAAACAAACATTTATTTTTTTATAGCTGATTAACAATGTTTTAATAATTTCAGGCAGACAGCAAAGGGACGCAGACTTACATATATATGTATCCATTCTCCCCCCAGTTGCCCTCCCATCCAGGATGCCACACACATTGAACAGAGTTCCATGTGCTATAAGTAGATCCCCATCAGTTATCCATCTTGAATATAGCAGTGTATACATAGAGTGGCTAAACTGAACTGATACATAGCAAGACCCTTTTCTTTGTTTATTCTTGTTATTTTCATCATTGATCCCACTCCTGTTTTGTATGTAACATAGAGCCCACCTATTAAAATGTGCTTTATATAGGTCCTTGAATAATGTGTGTGCTTAGTCGCTCAGTAGTGTCCAACTCTGCAAGCCCATGGACTGTAGCCCACCAGGCTCCTCTGTCCCTGGGATTCTCCAGGCAAGAATACTGGAGTGGGTTGCCATTCCCTTCTCCAGAGGATCTTCCTGACCCAGGGATTGAACCTGGGTCTCCTGCATTGCAAGCAGATTCTTTATCGTACGAGCTGCAGGGAAATTCCTTGAATAATGTGTACATCCTTATAAAATATGAATCGGTTGTTGCATGTGCTTAAAATGTACATTCAGTGTAAAATCCCATGGATCATTCTGTGTTTTACTGTATCAGTTTCATTAGACTTGCAGCTATTTTGTTCATCTTTTCAAATAATCCATAGTTTGTTTATTCATGTTCTCTATTTTATTTCTGTCCCTACCATTATTATTTCTTCCTTATGTTTCACCAGGCTTAGTTTTTTTTCCAGTTCCACAAATCAAGAGTTCAGCTCATTTTCTTTCCTTTTCCTGCCCCATGAATGCAAGCCTGGTCATTCACCACCTTGCTAGGACCCAACACCCTTCAGATATCATGAAGAGTCATTTTGTTAAATTGCCCCTTCTGCCAGTTCTATTGAGATTTTGGTTAGGATGGGGGATTTTAGGTATTTGATTGGAGTTGCATTAACATGAATTTGGACAGAATTAGGCATTTTACAATAGTTAAGACTCTCTTATTGAAGGAATGTGCTAAGTGTGTTAGTTTCCCAGGCTGCTGTAACAAAATACCACAAATGGAGTGGCTTAAAATAAGGGAAATTTATTCTCTTGCAATTCTGGAGGCTAGAAATCCAAAATCAAGGTGTTGGCAGGGCCATGCTCTCTCTGAAGTCTCTAGAGGAGAATCCTTTATTGCATTTTCTAGTTTCTGGTGGTTGTCTGTGATTCTTGATGTTCCTTGGCTTGTAGCTGCATCATTCCATGGTCTGCCTCCATCATCACAAGGCCATCTTCATTTTGTGTATGTCTGTGTACAAATTTCCTTCTTATAAGGATACCAGTCACTGGATTAGGACCCGTAATGATCTGATTTTAGCCAAGACCCTATTTCCAAATATTGACAGGTTTCTGGGAGACATTATATGGGGTGGTTTTTCAACCCAGTACAGTAAGGCCCTTTCTTTTTATGTCTTTGTGACCATTTTAAAGGGAATATGTACATAGTTTTTCAAACCATCACATTTTTGAACTGGTAATTACTATTAAAGGAATGCATTTTGGATAGTGGAAGTGGGAAGACTCCACCAGATTCCTACTAAGCTCTCTTGTTAGTAGAAATGAGATTTCCATCAGTAGAATCAGAAGGAGATTGTTAATAAAAACTGGACCATTACTTCTACCCTTTCTAGGACTTGTTCTTTTGTCCTTTTCTGTTAGTTGATAACTATGTGTTTTTGATCAGATAAATTCCCTTTTAACTTGGCAACAGAAGAGACTTTCTGGGCTGATCAGAAAGGACAAGTAAATTAATTTTAGTATGAGCTAATCAGCAGTTTGGCAGTAGGTGGGGCCGACCCAGGCATATGGAATGGATACTTCAGGTGATGAAGGGGGCAACAGTGGGAGGAGGAATTCTGGGAGAAAGAGTTGTTTCCCTCTCAAGTTCTGTAGCCATTCATTCAGTGTCTAGGCAGAGAGAGTAACTGGATACCAAGAGTAGTGGGGAAAACATATGTTTGACTCTGACATTTAGCAATTGACCTCTGGGTGAGCATCTTATTGTCATTGAACCTTAGTGTTCTCATCTGAAAAATGGGGCCATAATACCTCAGAATGTTCTTATTAAAAGTTTATAAGATCAGGATTTCCCTGGCAGTCCAGTGGTTAAGACTTCACCTTCCAACACAGGGGGTGAGGGTTCAATTCCTGGTTGGAGAGATCAGATCCCACATGCCTGGGGGTCAAAAAACCAAAACATAAAACAGTAGCAATGTTGTAACAAATTCAGTAAAGACTTTAAAAATGGTCCACATCCAAAAATCTTTTTTAAAATAGAAATGTATAAGCTAATATAGAGAGAATTCCAAGCACAGTGTCTAGTCCATGGCAGGTGTTTTAAAAATGTTGCTTCCTTTCTCCAAACACTCCTCGATCATTTCCCTTTCCATTGGAATGTTAAAAACAAAAGGCAAGGGAACGACTGCTACAATTTTCATGGAATGTGAATATCTCAATATTTCATTTACAATTCTTTTTCTCTTTATTATCCCAGCTATGTTTCTTTCAGTTATTGCAAATCAGGACACAATTGGCAATTAAATTGTTGCATGGGTATCTGAAATGCAAGGAAAACCAATGAAGGAAAACATGCCTTGCTCTTTCATTCCTGTTCTTCTGCACTTTAACCCAAGCCTTTTTAGTTTCCCAAACTGTGTCATTTTGTCAAATATCTGAATCCTAGAATATAAGCAGGTGGTGGGTAGAGGTAGTCCCCTTTGTATAGAAAAATTTACAGCTTCCGTTCCAAGAGTTACATGGCACATTTGCAGTATTTTTTCGTCTTATTCTTTCACTCCATTTTTACACTTTTGCAAAACAAGTGCTGTTGTTAGGTCTCCTAAGTACCCTTGTGAACATTGGAAATAGTTCTGTTGTCAAAATCTTTGCAGCTGGCTCCCGGCTAGTGTTTTGTAATCCATTCTGAAAATCTGAATAGTCCCTAGTTTTTCACATCGGTTGTGTTTGCCATCTTAGAGATAATTCTGAGTAATGATATGACTTTAAGAGGCGTTAGGAATTCGGATTCCTAAGGCTGATAGAAACTAATTCTTTTCTGTTTGGTGTTACAACTTTCCTCAAAGGCATTATTATTTATTCCACTTCTAAGCATGGATTTGTCCTTGAAATCTGTGTGATTTATCCTTGATATGTGTGAGTGTTTTCTAAGTTTTCTTTTCTTTTTTTATTTCTATGTGAATGATTTGTATAGAGCTTCAGACTTTTGAGTGGGTACCAGGCTTTTCAATTTCATGGACCACTGAGAGAGAAAACAAAAAAGGTAAGGACTAAAATCGCGTTGCCAACATTTTATTTTGCCAGGAGTATATATTTGAAAAAAAATTCCACTATTTTCTATCATTGTCATTTCATAAAAGGACATCTTAACATCAAAACAAGTTAAGGAAGTAATCTTGCAATAAATAACAGTCTTTCAAGTGGAATGTAATTTTTTTTTAAAAAGTGCTACATTGTCCTTTTTGCCTGGGTCCAGTCGAAATCTCTATAAAGACGTGTGAGAACTGCTGCCTTCAGAGCACAATCTGTGTCCTCTTAACAGTTGTCTTTTTGTGCTTTGTTACCTTCATTTTGTCAAGGTTGTTCCTACCGGGCATTTCCTCCTCGTGCTCCAGCAGCAGTCAAAGCCCTTTCCCTCTGGCCCTGGCTTCACTGCGATTCAGGAAGACCTTGATCGTCAGTTCTGTGAGGCTGGATGTCATAGGAGCCAGTAGTGAGAAAGCCCAGCAGAGGCGGCAGCTGTTAGTGCTGAGGAAGCAGAGCAGCTGTTCGCTATCGTTCCAGAGCTGTCTCATCATTTGTTGTGCACAAAGGTGGCTTTACAATTCTCCATGCTCGTCCTTCTCCCCCAGCCTCGGAGGACCCGATGCCTTTCATCTTGGTGCCGTGACTCAAGGTCTTGGCCATTTGTCTTCCTTTCCTTCAGGGTTTTCAATAGACTTTTTGTGTCATAGACTGGAGTGGTTCAATGTCAAATACAAAACACAGGCCTCCGGAGAACAAGGATCCCTGTCCTTTTGGCTTTGATCAGATTTTCTTTCTGAATTCCAAGTACAGCCTCTGCCCATCTGGGAAGAAGAATATGAAGAGTCTGGTGTGGCTGGATTTTCGTCTCTGCACCCTCCATTTCAGTCCCATCCACCTTTCTTCCTGAGAAAGGCTTGTGGCTTTGTGCTGTCATTTGCTCTTCCTCCAGAGGGCAAGTAATCTGATAAAACCACTCACAGGAAGGGACTAGAAGCATAATTTCCCTGCTGCCAGATGTTCTTACACACTATGAAGTTGAAAAAAGAACTCAGTTTTGGAGTTGAAATAGTTAATTCCAGCCCTGGCTGTAGTTGCTGTGATGGGCTTGAACAATTGATACAGTTTCTGGGAGATTCTGTTTCTTCCTCAACAAAAGGAGGCTGATAATTATATCTATCTCACAGGCTTCTTCTTGTGTTCAGTCACCAAGTCGTGGCCAGCTCTTTGCGACCCCATGGGCTGCAGCACGTCAGGCTTCCCTGTCCTTCACTCTCTCCTGGAGTTTGCTCAAGCTCATGTCACAGGCTTGATGTCAAAATTAAATGTGAATGCGAGCAGTCAAAATGCTTTATAATCTGAAAAGTGTTTTAATGATTTGCTAGTCTTTTCCTTGGGTTTGCAAATAGTAGAAACCTGCTTGAGCTAGCTTGAGTAAGGATACTGGGTTTGGCCAAGTCTTAAGTAAGGCAATATTGAGGTGCTGTGGGAAGAAGCCATGTGGTTCTTTCCCCACATACGGCAGATCCTTCTAGTGTTCAGCAATATCTGGTTCTGATCTTCTTCATAGACACTCAGTGAAGCTGTATTTCCTAGCCCTACTTGCCTCTAGGTAGAACCATATGACTGAGTTCTGCCAGTAGACTGTGGGAAGAAATGATGTATGCCTCTTCTAGTCCTGGATACAAAATGTCCTGTGTGCTGGGATGGGGTGGGATGATGCCCAGGGGATCTTGAAATCAGAATACTGTAGAGACATGAGATGATATGAAAGGATTCTGGGCCCCTGAGTCACCACTTGGAGAGAGCTGCATGGGGGAGCCGCCCAACCATTAGTATTGGACTTTGTGGGTGCAAGAGATAAACTTGTATTGTGTGAGGTCACTGAGATTTGGGATCGTTTCTTACAGTAGTTGATCTACCCTAATACACTATATCTTGAGTCTGTATCCCCTTGCCGCTAGTATCATTTATCTTCCTTGCCGCACACCAGCTTTCTCTGCCTTGTTATTCATCATGGTGAATAATGGCTACCATCAAAAGCAGCTAAATTGACCCCTCTTCCATTCAAGAGAACAGCTTGATTGCAGCTAAAAACACTTATTTCATCATATTTCAAATTCCTTCAAGAGAATTGAGTTAAGTCCAGCTGGTATTGGATGCTGATCCTGGTCCAATCCATATTTGACATCTATAAGGATAAGGAGGAGGGGCAATTTTCAGAAAAACAGTGCTTGGCAGCCAGATCCAAACATATTTACCTAAGTGCTCTATACTTGCTGTTAACATTTTAAGAAGAGGAACATGGGAAGGATGCAGACAGTTTCCTTCTGATACACCCCTGAAAGAATGAGTCTCTAAGGAAGGCTTGGCTTTTCAATCATCAGGTAATGGTTTACTTTACGCTGGGTAGTGTTTCCCAGTTGCCCGCAAGCTGTATTGGTTCAATGTAACAATATTGCCTATATGCAGGGTGGTGAGGTGCTGGTTAGCAGCTGTATCTTCTGGCTCATGGGCCACCCCAGGCCTGATGACCACACTCGTACCTGCAGTAGGTGGGAGGTGGAGGTCACTGTCTGGTGCATGGGTGCTTCAAGTGGAATGAAGCAAAGTTCATAAAGTGACCTTGGGATGGTGTTGTAAAAGGTGACAGATAAGAATAGGAGTTTGATTCGTTCCAAAGCACAGAATGAATATCACAAACAAAAGGTAGCCACAGAAATGTCTGCTTTTCCATGTAAATAATTTCCCCCATCAATGTCACCTCCCACCACCTAAAAGTCGAGGTTCTGGTGAACAAGGCCCTTGGTGAATGGCTCTCTCAGCCTGATGCCCCAGTGGGTCCTCACACACTCCATCCCTCAGCTTCCAACCAGACTGGACCATGAGCATTTCCCCCCAAAAGGGCCATGTTTTCTGAAGCTTCAATTTTCAGTGTATGCTTTCTTCTTTTCCTAAAATATCCCCCTTCCCTTCCCTGCAAAGAATCCTGCCTAGTGTCAGGACTCAACTCTAGCACACCTTCCAGGACTAGCAACCCATAGTTAAGGTTAAGCCATTTCTTTTTCCTGCTCCATTGTAATATCTAAACATGCTTTGTTTTTTTGAACATTTTTTTCTCTCTCTCTAACTGCAAAGATAAAAAAAAATGTTAATACTACCAACTTTGGAAAGTGCAAATAAAAACAAAAAAGAAGATAAAAACCTGCCATTATCCCACCCTCCAGGGGAAATATATGTGCAGTGCACATGCACACACACACACGTACACACACGTACATACACTTTCCAAAAAATTTTTGTTTTTGTGTTTGCTTTTTCCTCTTAACAAATATATCATGAAGAATTACCTATATGTTTATAATATAATTTTTTAATGAATAAATAATAACCTGTGGTACCCCATAGTTTATTTGATGAAACTTATTGTTGGATGTTTATGATTGTTTCAGATATTTCACTGTAGTAGATAATCCTGGGATAAATAACCTTGGATGTAAATCCTTGCATACCTCTCTGGTTATTTCCTTAGGGTAAAAACCTAAAAAGAGAGTTATTGGGTCAAGGAGTGTGCAAACAAGATCTAAAGGCAAGATTGTAAAGAGAATGACTGTCTTGGGAGCCTTTTTCAGAAGAGGAAACCATTCCCAGGAACGCTTCTCCCCAGATTATTACTCTCTTTGTTTCAGGGACAGAATTGCATACCGTATATATGCAGAAACCAGGTACTGGCAAGGGTAGCAAGACTACGTTTGGCTTAGACCACCCAGATGTATCCTATCACATCCAGTACTTCGAAAAATGGTCTTTTGTTATTAAGAAAGATTTAAGAGTAACTTTTATTTCACATATTACACACATATTGATATCCTTTCAAAAGTGACTGTATTTTACTTTCTGAACCTTACAGAGTGCAAGGTTTTGTCTGCCATAAAATCAGCTCCAGATAGAGGCTTGTCAGATGAATGAATGCCTACATATATATGCCTTTACACAGTTTGGTGTGTATCTTATAATTCTGATTAAGAACAGGCGGGAGAGTCATTCACCATACAATTGACCTCTAGAGACTGGATAGTTGAGGGATACAGACTCAAGGCAGCCTGGGAACAGAATAGGAGATTTTCCCAGGACATAGCAGGCAACCTCAGCTTACTTTTCTATTAGTTTAATGTATTTTCCATTGGCTAGCTTTTTTTTTTTTTGATTGCCAGGTATCTTTCTATTTTACATCCATTTAAAAACAAACAGATAAATATTAACTATTAAATGGCAATTAAAACTTTAACCACAATGAAGACATCCGTAAGAAAATTTACCAAGAATCTCTGACCACTGGCTAATTTTTAAATCAGTTTTACACTAACTATTACAATGCCATCCTTATTTAAACTTAAAGATCACTGATAAGCTATGGAGAAAAATATCCATCACCTGGAGAAATAAAACAACCCAGGTATTAGTTACAGAATTGTTCACCTGTGAATGAGTCCTAGTATAATTACTATGAGAATGAATTTGCAGTTGGAAGTTGTCATGGTCTCTTAAGTCTAAAGTTATAGAACTCTGGGGAGTAATAGAAAGAAATATCAGTCTTGCTGAAGAATTAATATGGTAAGTCATCAATTTGAGTCCTGAAGTTAATGGGAAACGAATAAGTGTTTGTGTGTAGGGGGTATTTCTATAAGCTTCTTTTGACAGTGGAAGGGTTGGACATTTGTCTTCTAAACCCAGGACCTTGAATAAGAAAAGTGCCCAGTTTTTAAATTTCATAATTAAAAATAAAAAAGTGTTTTTAAAATTTGGGGAGAGAAGTTAAGAACTGCCTTCTATGGAGCCTTAGGTAAATGAACAGGGCTTCCTTTTTTATGTGGTTGATGATGTCCATCAGCATGGTCATATATCAGCATCATCTCCAAAATGATGAATAATTACGCATCTTTTGGTCCATCGATAACCAACTACTTGGTTATGTTAACATAACCAAACTTCATGTGAAAATAATAATTTATATTTGTAATTATTGATAGTGCTATTAAATTGGTTTTTATAGTAATTTATCTAAATCTAACAGTTTATATTTCTGGTCTGCTTTAAAAAAACCGTAGAGAATGAATGCATCAAATCACTTTCTTAGTTTTACTGGGATTTTTCAATAATTAAACATTGAAATGGCTTTTGCATGAAGGAGATGTGGACTGTTCATGGCTGTGTAATTGACTATGAAATTCAATAATCCTCTAGCGTCCAAACATGAGACCAATCAATGACAAGCTGATGAGAATTAATGAAGTGAATTATGAAGTGTTAATTTTACAACTCATTGGCACTCAGTTGCGTGAAAAGATCATATAAATGTGCTGGTAAGAAAAACGCCCATGTGACTCTGCCAC